TCGGGAGGCTGAGGCAGGAGAATAGCGTGAACCCAGGAGGCAGAGCTTGCAGTAAGCCGAGATCACACCACTGCACTCCAGCCTGGGCAACAGAGCGAGACTCCATCTCACAGAAAAAAAGAACAGAGGAAAAGCTTCTCCTTTTTTCCCTAATCCAAGGTTTATTTCTCTAACCCAATATTCACTTCTCTTTCTGTCCCGGGAGCTGCCTTTTCCCATGATGATAGACAGTGGGGCTTTCAGCTACCTTCAGGGGCTCTCCAGTGCACCCAACTGTCCTATTGCATTGCCTGCATTTCTTAGAATTTAGCTATTCAATCAATCCTTTTCGATTCCTTTTTTTTTTTTTTTTTTTTTTTTTTTGAGATAAAGTGTTGCTCTGTTGCTGAGGCTGGAGTTCTGTGGTGCGATCTCACCTCACTGCAACGTCTGCCTCCTGGGTTCAAGCAATTCACCTTCCTCAGCCTCCGGAGTAGCTGGGACTACAGGCACACACCACCATGCCCCGCTAATTTTTTGTATTTTAGTAGAGACAGGGTTTCACTATGTTGCCCAGGCTGATCTCAAACTCCTGAGCTCAGGCAATACACCCGCCTTGGCCTCCCAAAGTGCTAGGATCACAAGTGTGAGCCACCATGCCTAGCTGAATTCCTTTTTATAACTATTTAAGGATAATTTCCGTGTGGATGAGGAGTCCACCTGCCTATGCACTACTGTATTTCCAATGCCTGGAACATATTAGGAACTCCATAAACATTTGCTCATGAATGAGTTCCTCTGAAAAACAGTGAGGCTCAGGCCTACATACTCTTCCTTCAGTCTTCTCAATTTTAGTTTCTTGTCTCATGTGAGCATTACTTAATAGTAAGCTAAATCCATAGTTTAAAACTAAACATTTCTCTAAAAGAGACATATCCTACAGAGATGCAACTATGCCTATAATAGAGGCAGGCCTATATTTATAACAGAGACAGCGCTTTGTATTATCATACATAGTATGTGCTATGCTTTACTAAACGGTTTAATAAGGTGGTTTTCCAGCCGGGTGTGGTGGCTTATGCCTGTAATCGCAGCACTTTGGGAGGCCGAGGCGGGTGGATCACCTGAGGTCAGGAGTTTAAGACCAGCCTGGCCAATATGGTAAAACCCCGTCTCTACTAAAAATACAAAAAATTAGCCGAGTGTGGTGGCGGGCGCCTGTAATCCCAGCTACTCGGGAGGCTGAGGCAGGAGAATTGCTTGAACCCAGGAGGCAGAGGTTGCAGTGAGCTGAGATTGCGCCACTGCACTCCAGGCTGGGCAACAAGAGTGAAACTGTGTCTCAAGAAAAAGAATAAAAATAAAAAATAAGGTGGTTTTCCAAAACTATGAAACAAAAACAACATGCAGCTTTATAAAGACAGCTTTTCTGGTGCTTACTTTATGTATCGAGATACTCATTGATGTTAAAAATATTGATTGAACATTTAATCTGTGGCAGATGCTATAGTAGGTTTTAGGAGCACAGCATTGAACAAGATAGATACACAGTCCCTACCCTGATTGAGCTTCTAGGCTATCAAGACAATTATACAATTAATAAAGTGTGATGAGGATGAGTAGTTACCATAGAAGTATTCTCAGGGATAGAGGTCTTCTGCCTGCACTTGAACAAAAGCAGTGCTATATTGATTGTTTTTATAGTTTGGGACTGCAGGTAAGATTTTGTTTGTAAACCTGGCTTTACTACCATATAAAAGTTTGAATACTGCCATTTATTTATCTGAATTTTATCCTGACAGCCTATTATGTAAATGAATGGCGATTGTGTATATAGTTATAACCACATAAGCTTTTTTTTTTTTTTTTTTTTTTTTTTTTTTTTTAATTGAGACAGTTTCACTCTGTCACCCAGGCTGGAATGCAGTGGTTCAATCACGGCTCATTGCAGCCTTGACCTCCCAGATTCAAGTCATCCTCCCATCTCAACTCCCCAAGTAGATGGGGACACAAGTGCACGCCACCACATCCAGCTAATTTTTAAACTTTTCGTGAAGACGGGGGTCTCTCTATTTTGCCCAGGCTGGTCTCGAACTTCTGTGCTCAAGCAATCCTCCTCCCTTAGTCTCCCAAAGTGCTGGGATTATAGGTGTGAACCACCATGCCCAGCCTTATAAGCCTTATTATCCTCATTTTATAGTTGAGAAAATACAGTTAACAGAGTTAAAGAACAGAGTTAAAGTAACTCTTTTTATTTATTTATTTATTTTGAAACAGAATCTCGCTATCTATCGCGGCTCACTGCAAGCTCCGCCTCCCAGGTTCACGCCATTCTCCTGGCTCAGCCTCCCGAGTAGCTGGGACTACAGGCGCCCGCCACCACACCCACCTAATTTTTTTTGTATTTTTAGTAGAGACAGGGTTTCACTATGTTAGCCAGGATGGTCTCGATCTCATGACCTTGTGATCTGCCCTCCTCAGCCTCCCAAAGTACTTTTACTCAATATTGTACTGGAGGCTGAGCACGGTGACTCACGCCTGTAATCTTAGCACTTTGGGAGGCCAAGCGGGGTGGATCACCTGAGGTCAGGAGTTCAAAGCCAGCCTGGCCAACATGGTGAAACTCCATCTCTACTAAAAATACAAAATTAGCCCAGTGTGGTGCTGCGCACCTGTAATCCCAGCTACCCAGATGACTGAGGTAGGAGAATCGCTTGAACCCAGGAGGTGGAGGTTGCAGTGAGCTGAAATCATGCCACTGCATTCTAGCCTGGGTGACAAGAGTGAGACTGTCTCAAAACAAAACAAACAACCACAAAAAAAAAAACTTACTGCCACAGGCTGGAATGATTCACTGAATAAACTGAAATAAACATAAATAAAATAAATATATTTTTTAAAAATTTGGTCTTACTTTGACCCCCAGGCTGGAGTGAATTGGTATAATCTTGGCTCATTTGCAATCTCGACCTCTGGGGTTCAAGCGATCCTCCTGCCTCAGCCCCCAAAATAGTTGGGACTACAGGTGCGTGCCACCACTCCAGGTTAATTTTTGTATTTTTTGTACAGATGGGGTTTTACCACGTTGCCTAGGCTATTTCCGAACTCCTGGGCTCAAGCCATCTGCCCACCCCGGCCTCCGAAAGTGCTGGGATTACCTGCATGAGTCACTGCACCTGGCCAAACGGGATATTTAAATCCACAATTAATGTGTTTAGGGTTCAAGCGATTCTCCTGCCCCAGCCTCCCAAGTAGCCAGGATTACAAGCGTGCGCCGCCATGCCTAGTTAATTTTGTATTGATAGTAGAGAGGGGTTTCACCAGTCAGACCGGTCTGGAGCTCCTGACCTCAAGTGATCCACCTGCCTTGGTCTTCCAAGGTGCTGGGATTACAGCCTTGAGCCACCGCGCCAGCCAAACAGGATTTTAAATTAAAGCCAAAATTGCCAGCGCGGTGGCTCACGCCTGTAATCCCAGCACCTTGGGAGGTCAAGGCAGGGGGATCACCTGAGATCAGGAGTTCAAGAACAACCTGGCTAACATGGCGAAACCCGGTCTCTACTAAAAATACAAAATCGGCTGGGCGTGGTAGCACATGCCTGTAATACCAGCTACTCGGGATGCTGAGGCAGAAGAATCACTTGAACCCGGGAGGCAGAGGTTGCAGTGAGCCAAGATTATGCCATTGCAACTCCAGTCTGGGCAATAAGAGTGAAACTCCGTCTCAAAAAAAAAAAAAAAAAAAAGCAAAAATTAATGTGTTTAGATTTTAAGACCAACTGGAATTTATTTATTTATTTTTGAGACAGAGTCTCACTCTGTTGCCCAGGCTGGAGTGCAATGGCCAATCTTGGCTCACTGCAACCTCCCAGGTTCAAGCAATTCTCCTGCCTCAGCCTCCTGAGTAGCTAGGACTACTGGCGCGTGCCACCACACCCGGCTAATTTTTGTATTTTTAGTAGAGACGGGGTTTCACCATGTTGGCCAGGCTGTTCTTGAACTCCTGACCTTGTGATCTACCCGCCTCGGCTTCCCAAAGTGCTGGGATTATAGGCGTGAGCCACTACGCCCGGCCTTGGAAGGTAACATTTTGCAAAAGGATTACTGAGTACTGTGTGCCATCCACTGGGGTTAGAGAGACAGGATTCCTTCCTAGATTAGTTAATTCCAGATCAAAACATGTCTAGGGGACTGGGCCAGGTGGCTCACACCAGTAATCCCAACACTTTGGGAGGCTGGGGCAGGAGGATCGCTTGAGCCCGGGAGATGGAGGATTAAGCTATGATCGTACCAATGTACTCCAGCCTGGGCAACAGAGTGAGACACTGTCTCAAAAAAATAAATAAATGAAAAAGTCTAGGACTCAGTGAATGGCTAGACTAAGGCTCAAATCTTGCAGTGATGTGTCTTTTGATTCTGCATGGTTTCTAATCTTTATCAGGAGTTAAAAACACACTTTAACAGGATAACTGCATCTAGAGGCCGGACTACATAAACAAAGGAAAAGTTCTTCGTAGAGGAAACACATGAACTGCTCGTTTTAGGAAGGCAGTGCCTTGAAAAGTGCCCTGGGGTTGGGGGCTGGGGGAGAGATAGCTTTAGGAGAAATACCTAATGTAAACAACGAGTTGATGGGTGCAGCAAACCAACATGGCACAAGTATACCTATGTATCAAACCTGCACATTGTGCACATGTACCCTAGAACTTAAAGTATAATAATAATAATAATAAAAGAACTAACTAAATGAAAGTGCCTTGAGCAGCCTGAAGTTCTAAGAGCTTTCCAAGTTTGGGAAGGTGTCCGGGTTTTCTGCGATTACTTCTCTGAGCATGAACGGAAGTTACCCTTTGTGCCTTCTGCGGTGATTTTAATGATAGGTGTCATATATAGGTCTGAGTAATCTGTTTACATTCTGTTCTTCTCGATGCACTCACAAGCGGGTAACTAGGTGACAAGAAAACAAAGATCTTTTTCAAAAGACAAGTCTTACGGCAACCCAACGTCTCATATTCCCATAGTAAAGATGGCGGCGCCTTGAGGTAAGCTACAGGCAACACCACTTCCGCGTTTCTCTTGCGCCCTGGTCCAAGATGGCGGATGAGGCCACGCGACGTGTTGTGTCTGAGATCCCGGTGCTGAAGACTAACGCCGGACCCCGAGATCGGGAGTTGTGGGTGCAGCGACTGAAGGAGGAATATCAGTCCCTTATCCGGGTTAGTTGTGTTTCTACAGTCTAACGCGTAGCAGAAGGGTGGGAGACATCAAGTGTCCTCAATAATACGCTCCGTGTGGAAGCCGCTTCCGGTTTTTAAGTTTAACGCCCAAATTCATAGAAATGGGACTGTTGCGGGGTTCGGGGACTTAGGAGGGATGGTGGGGAGAGGGCAAAAAAGACTCAGGTGAGTTTCACAGTGGGGCTAGACCTTGCGGCTAAAAGCAGCAGTTATTTTAGGGATACGCTTCCCCGGAAGGTGACGTGTCTCCCCGGCTCCAGGTGTTTGTTCAACTGGATTTAGGAGAGGTGGTCAGAAATCCTCAGGGCGCCAACTCCCAGTCCCCATCTCTCTGCCCCCTTTTTTAACTCTTCACTCTTTTTTTAGGGAGTCTCGCTCTGTTGCTAGGTTGGAGTGCAGTGGAGCGATCTCGGCTCACTGCAACCTCCGACTCCCGGGTTCAAGCGATTCTCCTGCCTCAGCCTCCTGAGTGCCTGCCTACAGGCACGCGCCACCACACCCAGCTAATTTTTGTAGTTTTAGTAGAGATGGGGTTTCACCATGTTGGTAAGGATGGTCTCGATCTCCTGACCTGATCCTGATCCACCCGCCTCGGCCTCCCAAAGTGCTGGGATTACAGGCCTGAGCCACCGCGCCTGGCCTCACTCTTCACTCTTTCAAATCACGTTAGGGCTGAAAATTCAAGTAGGCGTTAACTACAGAGAGTTGGGGAGTTTAGCTCATAGTTAGAAACACTCTTCTCAGCATTCTCTCTTCTGTGGAAGGTGAAAAAAGTTTGTCTTCCTTGTAGTTTCTGTCTGCTTCAAAGACCAGCAGTTCTAGTTCTCCTGCCTCATGTATTCATTCACTAAAAAAACCAAAAAATTACTGTGCACCTAGGCAGGAGATACCAAGCCGAATAAGGAGGAACTTACTGAGGTAGATAAAACCAGATCATTATAATACAGTGTTTAAGTGGAGAAAGAGACAGATGAGACAGATATGGATAGATATAAAGCGAGAAATGGCTAGGATGGTTTTTGTTTGTTTGTTTTGTTTTGTTTTTGAGATGGAGTCTTGCTCTGTCACCCAGGCTGGAGTGCAGTGGCTTTATCTCGGCTCACTGCAAGCTCCGCCTCCCGGGTTCAGGCCATTCTCCTGCCTCAGCCTCCCAAGTAGCTGGGACTACAGGCGACCACCACCAGGCCCGGCTAATTTTTTATATTTTTAGTAGAGACAGGGTTTCACCATGTTAGCCAGGATGGTCTCGATCTCCTGACCTCGTGATCCGCCCGCCTCAGCCTCCCAAAGTGCTGGGATTACAGGTGTGAGCCACCATTCCCGGCCATGGGTAGGATGTTTTGAGAGCATAACGGGAGATATCCAGCTTGCATTTGGTCAGGGAAGCTTTCCTGGAAGAGGTAATGCTTTAGCTGAAACTTAAAGAGTAAACATAAGTTAGCCTGATAAAACGTAAGAGTAGAATGACATTCAAGCCAAAAGGAACAGCATGAGCAAAGGCATAGAATCTAGAAATGGCACAGGCACCGCCATGATGTGTTTGAAGAAACAAAGTAGCTCAGAGTTGTTAGAGCATCAAATGTGAGGCAGAGAATGGTAGACAAAGCTAGGAGACAGGTTTGAGCACTTGAATTTTCTCTTGGAGGCTTTGGGATGCTGTTAAAGGATTTTAAGCTGAGAAACAACATGGCCAGGTTTGGGTTTTGATCAGTTGCATTGGCAATAAGGGGAAAATACAATTGACAGGGACAAGACTGAAGGTAAGAGACAAGTTAGGAGGCTGTCATTAATCTCAGCAAAACAAAAGGTAATCTAAACTAGGCAGTTGTGAAGATAGAGAGGAGAGGTAGATTTGAAGAATATTCAGAAGGTAAAATTAGCATGACATCATGGATTAGTGTAGTAAGGGATAGGGAGGGTCAAGGATGATTCCCAGGTTTTTGCCCTGGGTGAATGCTCATGCTGCCACCTGAAATTGATACTTCAGGAGGATAATTCTGGAAGTGTATCTGAAGGAATATTACAAATTCCAGATGGAAATGCTGAGTTTGAAGTACCTGTGAAATGAAGGTCAAACTGTCAACATACAGTTGGATACTAAAGGCTAAAGTTCTGAGGAAAGAGCTGGACCAAAGACAAAAATCTGGGAGTTATTAGCATGTGGGTGCTAGTTGAAACCAGGACTATATGAGGCTAGAAGGAAGGGAGTTACCCAGGGAAGGAGTCTACCATTAAATGAGTTGTGGGCTGAGGGCAGACACTATCAGAGAAGTGAGAGAAGAATCCAGATGATATCTTCAGGTCTTTTGTGCTTGCTAAATTGAGTGAAGCCCAAACATTCTATTCTCTGTTCTGGACAAACCCCCACTTACCAGTATAGCCTTGTCTTCAGCATTGCTAATGTTAGAAAAATTAGGTAAACATATTAAGAAAAAGTAATCGGCCGGGTGCAGTGGCTCACGCCTGTAATCCTAGCACTTTGGGAGGACAAGGCAGGTGGATCACCTGAAGTCAGGGGTTCGAGACCAGCCTGGCCAACATGGCAAAACCCTGTCTCTACTAAAAATACAAAAATTAGCCGGGCATGGTGGTGCATGCCTGTAATCCCATCTACTGAGGAGACTGAGGAAGGAGGATTGCTTGAACCCGGGAGGTGGAAGTTGCAGTGAACCCAGATCGCGCCACTGCACTCCAGCCTGTGCGACGGGAGCAAGACTCCATCTCAAAAAAAAAAAAAAAAAAGGTAACCACATACTTTTCTTTTGAGGAGAGGGGGACTGCCCTTGGCCCTAACTACTCTCTCAAAGACCTCATTCTCTGCTTTCAGTATGTAGAGAACAACAAGAATGCTGACAACGATTGGTTTCGACTGGAGTCCAACAAGGAAGGGACTCGGTAGGTAGACCCTCCTGGGAGGTGTGGGGTGGAAGTCTTATATGAGTTAGGCAATTTGGTATCCTAGCGCCCAGTACCAAAGCTGCCCTGTCTCATGTTAGCTGTCTCCACTCCCACAGCTCCAGAGTTCCCCAGTTCCCATCCTATGAGTCTCCCAGGCTGGTGGCCTAAGCCAAGTTGTCATTTGAGTATTGGAAGAATAGGCAAATTGGACTGAGGTTTGGTCTTTGTTACAGGTGGTTTGGAAAATGCTGGTATATCCATGACCTCCTGAAATATGAGTTTGACATCGAGTTTGACGTGAGTGTGATAGAGTGGGAAATATGAAGGTTAGTAGAAGGGGAGGGATTAGATGATTGGTAACAAGATATCCTTTCTTGAGCATAAGCATAAGTTATAGTTACTCATCTCCACGTCCAGAATCCTGGTATGGATGTGCTGCTTGGGGAGTTTTACTTAACATTTCAGTTTAACCAAGAAATATGTATGTCTGATTATATTAGTTCCTTTCTATCCTGATTCTGTTTTATTAAGGTTTTATACTTTCTCCAGATTCCTATCACATATCCTACTACTGCCCCAGAAATTGCAGTTCCTGAGCTGGATGGAAAGACAGCAAAGATGTACAGGTAGGACTGAATAGGAGATGGCAAAGAGTCAAAGAAGGCCTTAAGGAAGAACTTCGTGGCAGGAGGGAGATCATCAGGAAAAATAGCTAATGGATGCTTGGCTTGATGTCTGGATGATGGGATGATCTATGCGTAAATCACCATGGCACGTTTACCTGTGTAACAAACCTATACATCCTGCTTGTGTACCTCTGAACTTAAAAGTTGTAAGGAAAAAAAAAAAAAGGAAGAACTTTGGAGGCAGAGATTTTTCCAGGGTCTGCTGGCCTAGTGGGGTGCCAGGCCCTCCTCTGCTGAGCCTAGGCAAAGTACTTAGCTGACATTGTTCTCAATTCTGATCACTAGTAGTCTTCCTATGCCCCCGAGGCTGCTGTGCTTTATGGTAAACTTTGCATGTCAACACCTTCTTCATGTCCCTCTCATAGGGGTGGCAAAATATGCCTGACGGATCATTTCAAACCTTTGTGGGCCAGGAATGTGCCCAAATTTGGACTAGCTCATCTCATGGCTCTGGGGGTAAGTTTTGTGTATTTGGCATAAAAGGAGGAAGAGGGGCTTAGGCCCTGAGCATTATAGGAAAAGCAGCTAAGAATAAAAGGAATAACAGTGTTGTCCGTTAAGCATGTCCCCCCAGAATCTGTCTCCAGGAGGGAGCTTCTAATGGAATAAGAAGCATTGACTGGTAGTAATCTCACAGGATTTTCCTTGTATTGCAGCTGGGTCCATGGCTGGCAGTAGAAATCCCTGATCTGATTCAGAAGGGCGTCATCCAACACAAAGAGAAATGTAACCAATGAAGAATCAAGCCACTGAGGCAGGGCAGAGGGCCCTTTGATAGGCTACGATACTGTTTTCCTGTGCATCACACTTACCTAACTGCTTCCCCGGACACCCTCCACCTCTAGTTGTTACTAAGTAGCTGCAGCAGTCATTGCTGGGGGAGAAACAAACAAACACCAACCAGTATTGCTACTTAGTTTCTAAGGCTGCACAGGGAAGGGAAAGACTGGGCTTTGGACAATCTAGAGGTAATTTATATCCGCCCCTAGGTGGAGCAACATGCGATCCTGGAGGCATGGGGGTAACTGAAAGTGAGTACATAAAGTCTTTCTGGTTTCTGGAGATAACCCATCAATAAAAGCCGCTTCCTCTGGTAGCCTGTGGTTCTCATTGGGAGCTGTTAACATAGGGCAAATGGGCTAAAACCTGAGGCACATGAACAGCTACGACGGGTTGGGCTGGGAGGGAATAGGGGATGCTGTGGTCAGGAGTGGGAATGAAATGTTGACTATTCCCCCTGCTGCTCAGATCTGCCTTTGTCCTTTAGTGGTGAGCCATGCTTCGCCCTACTGTGTTAGCCTGCAAGAAGTGGTTTTGCAGGACCAGCACTTCCTGCCCTCCAGGGATCTTCCCATTCCTCTGTGAAGTGCTAGATGCTTCCCCACTGGTCTGCGGGCTGGACCCAGGCCTGCAGCTTGCCACACTTGCACCCCTGCTGTTTGGGAAGGATCTGTGCTATAAGCCTCGCGGCCATACTACGACTGTCAGATCTCCATCCCTATGGGCTACAGGATGGGCCGACGACACCCTATACCTCAGGGACTTGCTTTGGAGTCATGGATTAAAGAGCACTCTGGGCAGCGTTGAGAACTAGCGACCCTAAACTTGGCTGCGTTTCCATGGTGTCGATCGCGGAGCCGTGGGGCGGGCTCACGCAAGCGCCAAGGGGCCTGGTGGGAGGAGTTCGAGTGTGGATGCGCAGGCGCTTTGAGAGACGGTGAAGCCGGTGGCCGGTGGCCGGGCGGGACCAACAAAGATGGCGGCGGCCCCTGCGGCGGGAGCGATCTGGGCAACGGCTGCGGCTAAAGCTGCAGCCGGGCCCACTGGGGGGCTGCACGGGGGTAGTAGGGGGTGGCCCTGAACTGGGGCCTGGCCCCGGCTGGCCTCTCCCGCCGCCTCATCGGGGGACAGGTACGGGCCGGGGCGTTATGGCATGGCGGAGTGTGGGGGGGCGCAGAGGGAAGACTGCTCCAGACCCGAGAGGACACTCCACAAAGGCGCGTGGGGCCCGGCGGGGCCTGGGAGAACTGGGCTGGAGGGACAGCATCCCTGGACCGCGGGGAATACGCCGCCGGATTCCGTAGCCAATCAGCGGCCTCGGCCTTTCTGCCCTCGAGGGGGGCGGTCCCGGCCAAAAGCCCTGCTGTGGTGGGAGAGGTGCAGAGATTAAGGGTCAAGGAGTTGTTCGTCCTCCATCCCCGACCACTGCCTCCTGAACCTCGACACCATGTCGGAGGTCGGAGGTGGGGGAGGGAATGGATCGTAAGTCCCCTATTTAGTCTGCTTCATTTGCAGCCCAGAGAGGCAGGGATTTGAGGATGGAGGACTGTCTTTTGGGCTGTTATTCTTGCATCTACACTACCATTTGGCTAGAGATCTTAAGTGACTCGAGGCACATCCTACTTTACTAGCCGGGTATGGGGTCCTATGTTACGTTAGAGCCGCCATAGGAGTTATCACTGGCTTTTCAGTAAAGCTGTATTCTGCAGGGAGGGGACAGGAGTATAGAAAGGGTCAAAGCCATGGGCTGCTATCTTTCATTCATTTGTTTACTCAATAGATACTAAGTATTTACTTTGTACCAAACACGATGCCAGGTACTGGGGATACATACGATGGCTGATTCGATAGATCTGGTTCCTGCCCTCAGTGCATATACTGCTCCCCACTTTCGTTGATGTGGTAGTGGTGATGAATGAGCCAACCTAATGTGGAAATGAGAGGACAGCAAGATTGTGGGTATGGAATGGGGCAAAGCAATAAGGGAAAATTAGTGTGGCAGGGTTCAGTACAGCAACCTGGGTTCCCATTTCCCCCCATATTCAAATGCTGACACTCTCTTCTCCTCCCAGGTCCAGCCTGTGGTGTCCACAATGCCCCAAGCCTCTGAGCACCGTCTGGGCCGGACCCGAGAGCCACCTGTTAATATCCAGCCCCGAGTGGGATCCAAGCTACCATTTGCCCCCAGGGCCCGCAGCAAGGAGCGCAGAAACCCAGCCTCTGGGCCAAACCCCATGTTACGACCTCTGCCTCCCCGGCCAGGTCCCCCTGATGAACGGCTCAAGAAACTGGAGCTGGGACGGGGACGGACCTCAGGCCCTCGACCCAGAGGCCCCCTTCGAGCAGATCATGGGGTTCCCCTGCCTGGCTCACCACCCCCAACCGTGGCTTTGCCTCTTCCATCTCGGACCAACTTAGCCCGTTCCAAGTCTGTGAGCAGTGGGGACTTGCGTCCAATGGGGATTGCCTTGGGAGGGCACCGTGGCACCGGAGAGCTTGGGGCTGCACTGAGCCGCTTGGCCCTCCGGCCTGAGCCACCCACTTTGAGACGTAGCACTTCTCTCCGCCGCCTAGGGGGCTTTCCTGGACCCCCCACACTGTTCAGCATACGGACAGAGCCCCCTGCTTCCCATGGCTCCTTCCATATGATATCCGCCCGGTCCTCTGAGCCTTTCTACTCTGATGACAAGATGGTGAGGACTTGCCACACATGTGGCCTTCATGCCCATGTTCCTCTGTGCTTTCCTGCCATCCTCTGCCTTTCCTGTCCCCCATTTCCCTGAAGTTCCTTTCTCAGCCTTTCATTACAGCAGTTTGGACACACCTCTCCCTTGCTTAAATACCCTTGAGCCTCCTAGACCCTTTTTTGGGTTGTTGGTGACTCCCCAGCATGGTTTGCCCAGAGTCCCCAGGGAATTAGCCCAACTATTCAGAATTCTTCTTTGGGTCCCCAGGCCCTTTCCCTTGTTGCACTTTCTCTACTGGGACTTTGCCTAGGCCTAATTAATCTCTGGAGCTAAAGAGAGGTGAGCTCAGAACATCTTAGCAAATGTGGTTGCACATTTTCTGAGCTAAGTAAGCTAGGCTGATTGCAACTGGAGCCAGCAGCAGAAGGGCAAGAAGGGGCCACGGGGGCAGGAGGGGGTTTTGGGGGCAGAAAGGTGGGAGTGGTGAGCAGCTGGGCAACCATGCCGGTGCTGGGGGAGTTGCCCCAGGAGCTGCAACGTCGGCTAGCTGAGCAGAGGAGTGAGTGGGCAACAGGTGGGACAGCCATGGCTGAGTCCGTGGTACAGTCAGCTGTGATGGGCTTACTGCTCATGACCAGTGAGGTAGGGAGACTAGAATACCTAGTGAGGGGAATAGGGTAGAGTTTGGGGATTAAACATGCATGGGATAGGGGAGGCAGTGGGCAGCATGCTGTCGAAAGGTTAAAGTGCTTGGTAGGATATATAAGAACTTGCCGATTGTACTCTGACCTTCCAGGCTCATCACACACTGCTTCTGGGCTCTGGTCATGTTGGCCTTCGAAATCTGGGAAACACGGTGAGAGCCATTCTCCTGTCTTTCCTCTCTAAAAGGAATGTGAAATGGTGCTGGGGGTGGGGAAAACCCGCGAGCTTGGGGAAGGCATGTGGAAGGAGAGCTCTGAGGCTCTTCTAAGGCTTCCTGGGTAGTGGTCTGGAGAGATAACAGCAGTGTCCCTACTGCTCTCCAGTGCTTCCTGAATGCTGTGCTGCAGTGTCTGAGCAGCACTCGACCTCTTCGGGACTTCTGTCTTAGAAGGGACTTCCGCCAAGAGGTGCCTGGAGGAGGCCGAGCCCAAGAGCTCACTGAAGGTGGGGCAACAACTCCTGCTCCCTCTGTTCAAGTCCCTTTTTCCCCAACCACTTGCAGGTCCATCTGCCAGTACTGGTGGCCCCCAACCCTTAAATCTGGCAGTTGTATCTACTTTTCCCAGTGCCTACTTTCCTAAAGGTTATTTTCTGCCCTCTGAGCCACATCTTGCTTGCCTCTTCCAGACATTAACCTTTGTTTCCCTTCCCTACTCCCATCCCAACAGCCTTTGCAGATGTGATTGGTGCCCTCTGGCACCCTGACTCCTGCGAAGCTGTGAATCCTACTCGATTCCGAGCTGTCTTCCAGAAATATGTTCCCTCCTTCTCTGGATACAGGTGAGAGAGCTGGAGGCTATGGGATTTCTCTCTGGCCATGTCTGGGGGTAGGGCCAAGCAAGGGCCCTGGCAGCATTGTTCTGAGCTTTGAGATGTTCTTCATCCAGGAAGTGGGGACCAATATCTGGGCAGGGAATAGTGTCTGTGGACTAGGAGGGGAGTCAGTTGCCCATACTCTTTGTCTGGCTGTAGCCAGCAGGATGCCCAAGAGTTCCTGAAGCTTCTCATGGAGCGGCTACACCTTGAAATCAACCGCCGAGGCCGCCGGGCTCCACCAATCCTTGCCAATGGTCCAGTTCCCTCTCCACCCCGCCGAGGAGGGGCTCTGCTAGAAGAACCTGAGTTAAGGTAAGGGTCGTTCCCTCTACCTCCTCTCCCCAGTAGTTTATCAGCAGCATTTACACTTCATAGAACTGAACTAGTCAAGATGGAAGATGTAGGGTCCAGGAAAACCCTTTAGTATAGAAAATAGTGTGAGAAGCAGCGTAGAAGTAGAAGGAAGGAAGAGGGGGAGTCTAAGGGAGCAGATGGAGGCAGAAGATCATGCTAGGGATGTCACCAAATTGAAGAAGGGGATAATTAATTTACAGGTTGAGGAAGACAGCATATTCTTCCCTTGTGTACAATCCTTTCTTTTCCTCTCACCTCAGATTTCCCCAGAAAGTTCATTGAGGCATTATTCCTTTGACTTTTCCTTGAAATATAGGAAAGAAGCAGGGGTGTGGGTGGGGTGTAGGGCTCTGTGGGTCGTTTCAGTGGGTGTTGGGGGTGCCCAGTGTTCTTGCTGTCTCATGGATGCTCCCCACTTCCTTTGATCTGTGGTAGTGATGATGACCGAGCCAACCTAATGTGGAAACGTTACCTGGAGCGAGAGGACAGCAAGATTGTGGGTATGGAATGGGGCAAAGCAATGAGGGAAAATTGGTGTGTGAGGGGGGTACAGGCTTGGGGGGGAAATTGATACTATCGAGGGGTATGGGAAGAAGACTGGATGATGCAAATGTGAAGCTGTGTGAAGAGTTGATTAGGAGTGTTGGTAGTGAGAAAGGAAGGGTCAGGCAAAGGGGCAGAAAGAGATAGAAATCCAAGAAATCATCTCATAACATCCAACAATGACCTTTTCTCCTGTCCCTGTGCTTCTGTCTAGACCTGTTTGTGGGCCAGTTGAAAAGTTGTCTCAAGTGCCAGGCCTGTGGGTATCGCTCCACGACCTTCGAGGTTTTTTGTGACCTGTCCCTGCCCATCCCCAAGGTGGGATTCCAGAGGATTCCGGGGTGGACAGGACAGGGGCTCTGTGACCCAAGCCTACCCACCCCCGAGTGTGGGCGGGAACCCTGTGGGTTTCTGGAGCAGAACTGAAGCCTGGATTGATTGAGAAGAGTTGGAAAAGGAAATTCAGAACATGTTGACCTTTCTTCCCCTTTTCCCCCAGAAAGGATTTGCTGGGGGCAAAGTGTCTCTGCGGGATTGTTTCAACCTTTTCACTAAGGAAGAAGAGCTAGAGTCGGAGAATGCCCCAGTATGTGGAGGTTCACAAGGGATATAGTAAGGGTGGGAGACCCTGGGGGGAGGGGGACTCCATGTGGATAAAATGGATTGCATGATGCCTTAATATGGGGAATAATATTTATGTATCTGGGTTTGTGTTGGAGTCTCAGATATGTTCTAGTACTCCTAGAGCAAAGGGGAGAAGCCGAGAGGATCCAGCCGTAATGAAGTGCATACAAAATTTATATGTGGATTGGAGTGTCAGAAAAGCCAATTGCGGTTAGGAGCACATACCTAACACTGTTTGCCATTTATTCAGGTGTGTGATCGATGTCGGCAGAAAACTCGAAGTACCAAAAAGTTGACAGTACAAAGATTCCCTCGAATCCTCGTGCTCCATATCCTAATCTTCAGATTCTTACTTCTCTTAGGATACCTCCCATACATTCTCTTTCCTCACCCTCCATGTTTCCAGAGAATTGAATTTTCCTTAGGAAAAGCCTGCCACTCCCTTTTCCACAAGCTACTCCCAGTGTTTTGGGAGTGGGGAGAGGACAGCTTTCAGGACAGAAGTCTCCCTCAGAGGCCCACTGCCTCCCAAATGCTCCTTAACCAGGGCTTAGATCTGAATCGCTTTTCTGCCTCCCGAGGCTCCATCAAGAAGAGTTCAGTAGGTGTAGACTTTCCACTGCAGCGACTGAGCCTAGGGGACTTTGCCAGTGACAAAGCCGGTGAGTCTGGTGGGGAAAGTCCTAAGGAGCCAAAGGAGTGGGGGCACAGCTCTGATTGTAGAACTTGATCATCTCCAACCCCGCAGGAAGTCCTGTATACCAGCTGTATGCCCTTTGCAACCACTCAGGCAGCGTCCACTATGGCCACTACACAGCCCTGTGCCGGTGCCAGACTGGTTGGCATGTCTACAATGACTCTCGGTGAGAACAGCCTCCTATTTACATCTTGCCCCATTCCCACTCAGCCCTGACACCCTCCCCTTCTATGAAGTCCCAGGAGAGCAGAGTGCCAGGTGAAAGGAGAGGCGGAGGTCTTGCCTGATCTCTTCCTGGATGCTCTGAGGTTCGGTCTTGAGGGAGAAGGGAGTAAACAGTAATGACCACAACCCTTTCCCGATCTCCCTTTTTCCTAGTGTCTCCCCTGTCAGTGAAAACCAGGTGGCATCCAGCGAGGGCTACGTGCTGTTCTACCAACTGATGCAGGAGCCACCCCGGTGCCTGTGACACCCTCTCTAAGCCCTGGCACCTGTGAAGCCCTTTAAACACCCTTAAGCCCCAGGCTCCCCGTTTACCTCAGAGACGTCTATTTTTGTGTCTTTTTAATCGGGGAGGGGGGAGGGGGTGGTTGTAGCTCCATTATTTTTTTTATTAAAAAATACCCTTCCACCTGGAGGCTCCCTTGTCTCCCAGCCCCATGTACAGAGCTCACCAAGCCCCTGCCCGTGTACAGCCCCCAGACCCTCTGCAATATCACTTTTTGTGAATAAATTTATTAAGAAAAAATGATGTGCTTATTTGTATTTTTGCTTAGGGAGTGACAGAAAACTGGGCCTAATTGGAGTCTTCCTGGGACCCAAGTTCCCTCTCTAATAGGTGGGGGCGCTCTCAGATCCAAGGGGGAAGGTTTCGGAGATGGTGCTGGACCCGGACCTGTGCCCCCCAGCAGTGTACGTTAAGCACTGGGAGGAAAGAGGGAAGGCATACTTGAGGCTGCGTGCAGGCTCTGGGGCGTCTGGTTTGGTCGGCGATGGGGGATGCCGCTGTTGACAAACACTGGGTACGTTGCCGGGAGGCCCTAGCTCCCGTAGGCCCGGTCTGTTGCTAACATCAAGGAGCTGTTTATGGAGCCACCTCCCAGTGGACTGGCTTCCAGTGTCCCTATCTATTCTCCCTACGACCAAAGCTCCTGGGGCCTTCCCTCTAGGGTTTTCACCCTAGCTGGACCTGGGAAACTTGTCCTGGGGAACGCTAACTCCAGCATTAAGCGCTCGTCGCCTCGGTCCTGAGGAGGGCAGTGCCGGGTAGGACCGCTCACTCCCAACTCGGAGCTGACGCGGTTAACCTCAATCTCTTACAGCTGCCGTCGCTCCGCCTCTGCCAGTTCAATGTTTTCATTGGTGAACGTGATCCGGGACCTTCCAGGGCCTGCCAATCCAGATGTAGGAGAAATATGGTCAGGCGCGTGCCGCGAGAACAGAGTGGACGGAGAGTAGCAGAGACCGAAAAGGCTGGGGGTGGGAATAGCGGATTTGAAGCACTTTTTGGCCTACCGAGGCGTGGCAGACAGAGCACCTCAGAACTCAGGCGTACTGCCCGCTGCCCCGAGCCCTGCGAGGGCCGATAGCGAGGGTGTGGCCCTTATCTGCACCCAGCGGAGCGCCGGCGGGGTACGGTCTTAGGACCTCGACCTCCTTCTGCCTCATTTTTTCTCCTCTCTTGTGGGTGAGTCCTGGCCCTGGACGGGGACCTCACTGTTCCACCAGCCCATCTGTGCACACTTAGTTTCCCTTAAAGCAGTGAGTGACCGGGGATAGAACGCAAAACCGGCGGAGCTTCTGGAGCGCAGGGTGTCCCCGGTCTGCCTGTCCATATCGCCCCCTTTCCCCCAGGTTTCCCCATGGGCCGGACCGTGGTCGTGTTGGGCGGAGGCGTCAGCGGCTTGTCCGCCAGTTACCACCTGAGCCGGGCCCCGTGTCCCCCTAAGGTGAGTGCTCCACCTGTGCCAGAGGGAGCTTCATTTAATGCTCTTTTCCCATTTCCATCAAAAGTTAGATGGATCTTGGCCCTCTGAATGTGCCTCTTCCCCTCCCCTCCTGACCTATCCCCGGCGGCTACAGGCGGTGCTGCAGTGTCGCTCCCTCTTGTCGCCAGGTGGTCCTGGTGGAGGGCAGTGAGCGTCTGGGAGGCTGGATTCGCTCTGTTCGAGGCCCGAATGGTGCTATCTTTGAGCTTGGACCTCGGGGAATTAGGCCAGCGGGAGCCCTAGGGGCCCGGACCTTGCTCCTGGTGAGAGGCTTGTGGGATGTCTAGGAGAGAGGTTGTGGAGGGGGCTTCCATTGGGGAATAGAGTTTAGAGGGGGAAGTATGTTTGCTGGGTCAGACCTTCCCTTAGTTTCTCCTCTTCTGAGGGCCTGTGGAGAGCAGGTTTCTGAGCTTGGCTTGGATTCAGAAGTGCTGCCTGTCCGGGGAGACCACCCAGCTGCCCAGAACAGGTTCCTCTACGTGGGCGGTGCCCTGCATGCCCTGCCCACTGGCCTCAGGTAACACCAGCACCTCCGCTGCTTTTACTGTGCCCTCATCCTCATATGCCTTCCATTTCTTTCTCTTTTTTTTTTTTTTTTTTTTTTGAGACGGAGTATTGCTGTCGCCCAGGATGGAGTGCAATGGTGCGATCTTGGCTCACTGCAACCTCCGCCTTTCGGGCTCAAGCGATTCTCCTGCTTCAGCCTCCCGAGTAGCTGGAACTACAGGTGCCCACCACCACGTCCGGCTATTTTTTGTATTTTTAGTAGAGATGGGGTTTCACCATATTGGCCAGGCTGGTCTCGAACTCCTGACCTTGTGATCCGCCTGCCTCGGCCTCCCAAAGTGCTGGGATTACAGACGTGAGCCACCGTGCCTGACCTGCCTTCCATTTCTTCATCTCCCTGCCAGCCTTCCCAGCAAAAGGAAGCCAAATGAGTGGAAATGACCCCAGCGTCTGAAGCTGGGGAGGTATGTCAGGAGCTTCCCCCTCACTAAGTCTTTCTCCATGCAGGGGGCTACTCCGGCCTTCACCCCCCTTCTCCAAACCTCTGTTTTGGGCTGGGCTGAGGGAACTGACCAAGCCCCGGGGCAAAGAGCCTGATGAGACCGTGCACAGTTTTGCCCAGCGGCGCCTTGGACCTGAGGTGACACTTGCCCAGAGGCCCCAAACCTCTTCCCTCCTAAACCAGCTGCAGAGCTCCCTGTTCAAATCTACCACGTAGGGGCTCTTCTGTATCATTTGGAGATGCCCTCTTCTCTTCATACCCCACCCCCTCATAATTCCCAAAACTCATTATTGGGAGGGAAGGCCTTCACTTCCATCCTTCTGTCATAGTGGGAATGTCTCCCATACCAAACCCTATCCCACCCCCATTCCCTACCTAATACGGGCTGTGGAAATCAGTCAGTGTAGATTATTCTTTGGCTCCTTAGTCCCAGTCTCACCCTTAAGGTGGCGTCTCTAGCCATGGACAGTCTCTGCCGTGGAGTGTTTGCAGGCAACAGCCGTGAGCTCAGCATCAGGTCCTGTTTTCCCAGTCTCTTCCAAGCTGAGCAAACCCATCGTTCCGTATTACTGGGCCTGCTGCTGGGGGCAGGTGAGGGGGGATTGATTCAAAGGGTGAAGATATTAAGGACTGCCAAAGTGAGGGAGTGGGGACAAAGGGTGCTATTCAATGATTCTTTTTTTCTTTTTTGAGACAGAGTCTTGCTCTGCCACCTAGGCTGGAGTGCAGTGGTGCAATCTCAGATTGGCTCATTGCAACCTCTGTCTCCCAGGCTCAAGCAATTCTCCTGCCTCAGCCTCTTAAGTAGCTGGGATTACAAACATGTGCCACCACTCCCAGCTAATCTTTGTATTTTTTTTGGTAGAGACGAAGTTTCACTATGTTGGCCAGGCTGGTCTCAAACTCCTGACCTCAAGTGATCCACCCGCCTCCGCCTCCTAAAGTGCTGGGATTACAAGTGTGAGCCACTGCATCCAGCCTCAATGATTCTTCTTTGCTTCCTCTGCAGGGCGGACCCCACAGCCAGACTCAGCACTCATTCGCCAGGCCTTGGCTGAGCGCTGGAGCCAGTGGTCACTTCGTGGAGGTCTAGAGATGCTGCCTCAGGCCCTTGAAACCCACCTAACTAGTAGGGGGGTCAGTGTTCTCAGAGGTCAGCCAGTCTGTGGTCTCAGCCTCCAGGCAGAAGGGCGCTGGAAGGTAGGGGAACCCCTGGAGTGTAATGAACCTGTTAGTGTGTCCATCTTTATCCAAGTGGTTTAACTAGGCCAGGGCCAATAGGACTGGAGTTCCTCGTTGTTTTCCTGCCTTAGAAGCTAGTTAGACATGGGCTACCCCATAATCCTAGGCCCTATTTGTGAACCTTCCTCAAAGAGCCTATGCAAGTCTGTGAATAGAAGTAGTACTTATAAGTGGCTTAGAGATAGGGGAAAGAACCCAGCTTCGGTGAATATTTCAGAACAGCCACACTGGCCTGTCTCGTCCACTTCCTGGAGTACACAGAGAAATGATTTTTTTTGTGAAGTCTACACAGTCACCCATTCTCTTCATCCTGGGTCAGTACAGTCTCCCCGGCCACATGGGTGCCTGGGAAACTGAGACTGAAGCACCAGAAGTCTCTTTTCACTAATCAGATTCTCATTTTCTGGGTCTTTCAAATGTTTTCATGTTCTTAGGTATCTCTAAGGGACAGCAGTCTGGAGGCTGACCACGTTATTAGTGCCATTCCAGCTTCAGGTAATGGGATGGCCACCTTCCCCTTCCCCAAACCCTACCAGTGAGAGGCAAAAGCTGTACCTTCCTGGGTCAGCAGGACCACACCATGCCCCTGAACTGGTCATCTCTATGGGAGTCTAATCCCAAAGAGGACTGACAACTGTAATGGGAATGCCTCCTGAGTCAAGCCTCTGCCTGATCTCTAGTGCTTAGCGAGCTGCTCCCTGCTGAGGCTGCACCTCTGGCCCGTGCCCTGAGTGCCATCACTGCGGTGTCTGTAGCTGTGGTGAATCTGCAGTACCAAGGAGCCCATCTGCCTGTCCAGGTATGATAAAGGGATGGAGAGGCCGGGCATGGTGGCTCACACTTGTAATCCCAGCATTTTGGGAGGCCAAGGTGGGTGGATAAGGAGGTCAGGAGTTCGAGACCAGCCTAGCCAACATGGTGAAACTCCATCTCTATGAAAAATACAAAAATTAGCCAGGTGTGGTGGCTCATGCCTGTAATCCCAGCTACTTGGGAGGCTGAGGCAGGAGAATCGCTTGAACCCAGGAGGTGGAGGTTACAGTGAGCTGAGATCTCGCCATTACACTCCAGCCTGGGTGACAGAGCGGGACTCTGTCCCTCGTCAAAAAAAAAAGGGAAGGAGAAACAGGCTTAACTAGAGCCCTTTCCTTCTGACGCATGAATGTCCTTCTCTCCAGGGATTTGGACACTTGGTGCCATCTTCAGAAGATCCAGGCGTCCTGGGAATCGTGTATGACTCAGTTGCTTTCCCTGAGCAGGATGGGAGCCCCCCTGGCCTCAGAGTGACTGTGAGAGGAGGAAACTTTGCCTAGTGGCATTTCCAGAGGGCTCCTCTGTGCTCCAGTGTAGGCAAGGCCAGACTGATCAGTGCTATATTCCCTCCCTAGGTGATGCTGGGAGGTTCCTGGTTACAGACACTGGAGGCGAGTGGCTGTGTCTTATCTCAGGAGCTGTTTCAACAGCGGGCCCAGGAAGCAGCTGCCACACAATTAGGACTGAAGGAGCTGCCGAGTCACTGCTTGGTCCATCTACACAAGGTAAGTTGGGATAAACTTCCCTCAGCTCTCCACTGAAGGCCTTGAAGACAGGGACTGGAACATTTGTCACTGTATGTCAGCCAAGGCCTAGGACATCAATAATAAACTTTTCCCTGCATCCTCTCCTCTTTTCTCAGAACTGCATCCCCCAGTATACACTAGGTCACTGGCAAAAACTAGGTAAGTTGGGAAAACAGCTGGGCTGAGGAGGGCCAAGAGCATCAGACCTCCAGCTATAACATTCCTTTCATCCTTTCCTTCTAGAGTCAGCTAGGCAATTCCTGGCTGCTCACAGGTTGCCCTTGACTCTGGCTGGAGCCTCCTATGAGGGGGTTGCTGTTAATGACTGTATAGAGAGTGGGCGCCAGGCAGCAGTCAGTGTCCTGGGCACAGAACCTAACAGCTGATCCCCACCTGCCACTCATGAAAATAAAAATTGCTGGAGCTTGGTTTGGTCTGGCTGTTCTATCACCTATAGGCATCAGAATGCGGGGGAGCAAAGAGGCAAAGTGTGCCTGGGATGCAGAAAGTAAGAGCAGATGCAAGACAAAGTCCTTTATTAGAAAATATATCAAAATCCCAGCCCTCTGAGCCAGGACCAGAAGGGGGAGCTATTCCAGCATGGGCAGAAAATGCCTGGGGAGGGGCTTCCTTCACCAAACAACTTCCCGGGAACCATAAATAGAATAAATATTCACAGAGGTCCCAGGAGAAGCCAGATCACTCTTCTCTCTATGGAAGAGGAAGGGGCTTGGGGTCCAGCCCTGCTCCTACCCTAGCGGCAGGGACTCCCAGGAATCGTCACATAAAATCATGACATCAAGGATTCACAGTCATAACCCCTACAGGAGACCCTAGAGAGAGGGACCCCTCAGGTCTATGGGAGCCCAGCTCCAGTCCAGCAGTGAGGAGAGGTCCCTTCCCCCTAGCACGGCACCAGAGTTCAGTTCCCCCGCATCCCTCTGAGAACAGTGAGGAGCTGAGGGTGGGGAGAATACAACCCCATGAATTCGGTTTCATGATTAAGGTAGGCAGGAAGGAGGAGTCAGTGTGAACCTCGGAGGGCTGTGTGGTTGGCAGTAGGTGGAGGCCCAGGCCTGGATGGGGGCCGGCGTTGCAGCATCTCTTGACGGAAGGCTTGGGAGGAACCAGGTGGGTAACGGGGCCCAGAAGGAGCCCGAGGACCCCGAGGGTCAGTCCCAATGTCTGCTGTGATGTTGGTATAAAGAGGCCCCAGCTCTCGAGCCAGCAACTGGTATGTCAGTGAGTTCATCCCATCTTGCGTCCAGGAATTCTGGGTACGGACCAGGAGGTCAAATCTGAGGGTTAGAGGTTGGAGACTAAGACCCAGAAAAGAACAGCCAGAAATCTAGGGACCTTTAGGAGTTTCCTGGCTAGGGGTACAGAACCCTAAGGATTCAGTAACAATTCCCAGGCAGTCCTTCCTTCTTCCTACCTGTGGGGATTTTCCTCGTTGCCCTTATCTCCTCGGTGCTTCACCATCTTATAGTGTCCTACAGATGTGGGGGGCCGAGAGATCTTCATCCCAGCCAGGCGCACCCTATGGGAAAAGTGAGGGGATCATGGGGGATCCAGAGTAGAGGAAAGCAAGGAAGGGATTAAATGTTTCTGTACACAAAAAAACAACTATTACTCAGTAGGCAAAAAAAAAAAACAAAAAAAAAACCCCAAAGTCAAACAGAAAGAAGAAAATGGCTGAAGAGAATATAAAAGCCGGATGTATCCAAATCCTCAGGGCCCAGTGCCAGTCTCCCTAGGGCCTTCAAACAGTTGGCAAAGGTAGGTTTGTACCTACTCCCTTGGCTTCCTAAAGGGCTCCTAGGAGCTGCCCTTGCAGTCTAGGAAGGACGCCGAGAGAGGCCGTTCTGTTAAAAGGATAAGAAAAGCCTGGGAGTTGCAGACCCAAGCTCAGCAATTCTTAAAATAGTGACTGAGCTACCCCAGCTTCTCTCCCACATCCCCCATGTTAAGAAAAAGGTAGGCCAGGTGCAGTGGCTCACACCTGCAATCCTGGCACTTTTGGATGCTGAGGCAGAAGGATCACTTTAGGCCAGGAGTTCAAGACCAGCCTGGGAAAATAACAAGACCTTGTCTTTAGGGGGGGAAAAAAAAACAACGAAAGAAAGAAAAAAAAGGATAGAGCCAGGTAATCAGGACCTTGAAAGAAACAAACTTCAAGGCCGCGCGCGGTGGCTCAAGCCTGTAATCCCAGCACTTTGGGAGGCCGAGACGGGCGGATCACGAGGTCAGGAGATCGAGACCATCCTGGTTAACACTGTGAAACCCCATCTCTACTAAAAAAAATACAAAAAAAACTAGCCGGGCGAGGTGGCGGGCGCCTGTAGTCCCAGCTACTCGGGAGGCTGAGGCAGGAGAATGGCGTAAACCCGGGAGGCGGAGCTTGCAGTGAGCTGAGATCCGGCCACTGCACTCCAGCCTGGACGACAGAGCGAGACTCCGTGTCAAAAAAAAAAAAAAAAAAGAAACAAACTTCACATCTGACACACAGAAGCATGGAGTGCAGATGGCCTGGGAAGGAACTAGAAGCATACTTATGTATATTTACAATTCACTGGGTATTTCACACACATACAGAGGATGAAAATTCAGAGATGTCATCACAAAGGACACAGGGGGAATGGAGGCAATTGGTCCTGCATACCAAGCCCTAATATTCATACCACAGACATGAAATTGGGTCAGCTGAGGCTGAAGGTCAGAATGTTTCACATGCTAAAAATGAGCTGGCCCTGTGCCAGTGGCACAGGCCTCTTACAAAGTGATTCTGGGAACATAGAGCAGAGCCCCTCTGTCTTAACCCTATAGGAAGTGGTCTGGCTGGAACCCTAGCAGAAGGCAAGACTAAACTGTCTCTGGGCCCCTTTCCAGTTCTGGAATCCAGCGATACTATTTCCTATTGATCTTATGTCCTCTCCCAAGAACAAACTAACCAGGAGACTGAAGGAACAAACTAACCAGAAGATACAATGGGCAGCAGCATGCAAGCCTGCTCTGGGTATCCTAAAAAGACTAAGGGAAAGGAATGGGTTCAGTGCAGGACCAGGGAGCTAAAGGTTAGTGTTGAAGGGATCCAGACTGGGGTCAGGAGGGAAGAAGTGGCAGGAAGTCTGACCTGGTAGCAATGTCATCATCCTCACCACCCCAGCCCCAGTATTCATTGGGGAAGCCATTCATCTTCAGGTACTGGTCAGGAGTAAGCGCCGAGACTCCTCCGAAGTACTGGGGGTATGGGAGGCTAGGGAGAGAAAGATCCTTGCATGCCCCAAGTCTTCTGGGGAGCCATCCCCAACCACAATCCCCTTGACTCTCCTCCTTCCACAGGATGGTAGGCTTCCCTGTTTCTAAGTACCCTTCCATGCTCTCTACCTGTATCCAAACTTGTTCATAGCAACAGCAACATGGCGGGGTCCCCGGGGGTCACACACATACAGATTGTGGTCATTTTCTGGCAAGAGGTCCACATCATGCAAGAACAGGCAGTCCCACTCTTCATCACGCAGGGCCTCTCGCACGCCAACATTGAGCAGTTTTGCCCTGTTAAATGTTCCATTTCCAGCCTGGAAGAGAATGGAGGGGGACCAGACTATGTCTGTAGTGGCATAAAGAAGACGGGGCTAAAGAATAAAAGTGAAGGCCAGGCACAGTGGCTCATGCCTGTAATCCCAGCACTTTGGGAGGCCAAGGTAGGCAGATCACAAGGTCAGGAGATTGAGACCACCCTGGCTAACACGGTGAAACCCCATCTCCACTAAAAATACAAAAAATTAGCTGGGCGTGATGGTGCACGCTGTAGTCCCAGCTACTTGGGAGGCTGAGGCAGGAGAATGGTGTAAAACCCGGGAGGCGGAGCCTGCAGTGAGCTGAGATCGCACCACTGCACTCCAGCCTGCGCAACAGAGTAAGATCTCAAAAAAAAAAAAAAAAGAATAAAAGTGAAAAGAGGGAAATCAAAGTGGGGTGGAGGGCAAGGAGAATGAAAAAGAAAGACTATCTTTTTCATTTTTCCACTTAGTCATTTGACAAATCTTGCTTGTGTATTGATATGGGCCTGATACTTAGATGCTGCTGTCTAACATTTAATCCTGACAATCGGCAACCAACAATGGTGTGGTGTGGAACAGGTGGTATATTAGTTATCTTTTGCTCTTTTCTCATGTTAGATGTTTAAGTATCTTGCTCAGAGTCATACATGTTAACAAGTGACGGAACTAGAATTTTAGCCCTATCGTGTCCAATTCCAACTCTGCACAAGCCATTCAATAAAAAATCACAGAAGAGTATAGGACAGTGGGAATAACCTAAGCAGATTAAGGGGAAGTATGGGACTAACAAATTTGGAAGAACAGTGCCAGGTGCTTCTCCACACTCTAACAGTCTGGCCCTCTTAAAATTATTCTAGGGACCCATTAGATGAAAGTGGAGTGGCATGTGCTTGAGGCTTCCTTAGAAGAAAGAAAGTCAAAAAGGTGGAGATTGGGGTACCTGGTGGATGACATAGATGCCATAAGCAAGCTGCTGGCGCTGCAGGAAGGGGTGCAGGTGGTAGAGCAACAGGCGCAGGTGGTGCTCCCGGGCACGATGAGGCACAATGATGGCTGTTCGGGAGCGGGGCTCACAACCTGCAGGGCGGTACCGGCCCCCTGGTTCTACCCGGGGATTCCGCTCCACAATCTCTGCCAGTGATGGCACTGGGCTAAAGGACACCGACACAGGACCCACTGTTGGGAAGGAATGGCAAGTAGAGGGATCAGAGAGGCAAAGAGAAAAGAATCAAACTAGGGTCTGGGAATACCTCTGGCACTGGCAGTCTGGTTCTGGGGCTTAGTTCTCAGGGCTCACTCAGAAATCTCACATGCCTTGGATTCCCCATCACTGGGACAGCTCTACAAAGGCTGGAAGGTGCAGGATCCTTACCTAGCCTTCTCTTCTTCTTTTAGGGTTGCACAACTCTCCTGTCTCACAGAGTTGAAAGCTATAGTTGAAGGCTGGAGAGAACAGGACTTGCAACTAATTAAACCAGGGCTCATCTACAAGGAAAACAATTCCTAGCCTGGGGCAGGAAGAGCCCATAAAGGGGCAAGCAGTAGAAAGTGAAAACCCAATAGTCTAGTCTAAACTCCAAATTCAGAGTCCACTCTATCTCAACCTCAGCCCTCTATCTCAACCTCAGCCTACCTGCAGAGTCCATGATCCTCTAAGTTCCACTTCTGCCACTCCATACCTCCCTATCCCGATGCCTCCCTATCCGCAAGCCTCCCTGTCCCCGCACCTTGTCCTTCATTTCACCACCCCCTTCCTCCTGCACTTACCTAAGAGAGGAGATCGTTCTGGACAGTAGGGCAGACCTTGAGGAGCTGGAGGACCCCCTGGGGCCCCAGGCAGGTGACTGAGGTTACTGTAGACATCAC